CTCCAGCTGAGTCTTATGCATTCTATTGATACGGATATAGATGGTTCATTCCTGCTTTCATATGTATCTATTTTAGGCCAGGCATTGTCCAAGGCACTGTGAAAGTGAAGATTTCTAGGCCACTGTCCCTGCTTATGAGAAGCCCAGAACTGCACAATGAGTGAGATGAGGCTACAAATTATCACTAAAAAACAACAGAGAGTTTATAGCAGCAACTGGACCCGAATGCAATCTTAAAAGCACAAGCAAAGGGCCATGGATTGCAAATTTACTTTGGATCTGCTTGTCATGTAAAAAAATAGCAGGGAACATTTAGTAAGGCATGGAACTTAAGAATGAGACGATCTGGGATCTGAATCACATACTTCACCTTCTCGTACTTTTTAATATATCTCTTTTCTGAAGGATAATATACATACACACAAGTGCATGTCTATTTATACAGGACAGATGAGCATACCCATATAACCTGCTCCCAAATCAAGGAGCAGAACATGAGCACTATTCCCCCAGGCCGTCCTTGAGCGCTCTCCCTATCATTTCACTCCCGCATGGGGAACCACAGTCCTGACTTCTAATGCCTAGATTAGTTTTGTCTGTTTTTTTACTTTATAGAAATGAAACCAAATAATTTGCACATTTTGTGTCTGGTGCTTACTCAATATTATGTTTGTGAGACCTGTCCATACTGTTACATAGTGCTGTAGACTGTTGATTCTCATTGCTCATTGTATTCCATTTTGTGAATGTAACATAATTTGTGTTCTACTATTGGTGAACACTGGAGTAGTTTCCAGTTTGAGGCTATTAATGTTTCTATGAAGATTCTAATACATAACTTTGGGTGAACACAAAAATATGTATGTTCAGCTCTAGTAGTTATTTTCAAACAATTTTCCAAAGTGGTTGCACAAATTTGTATCTCCCCAGGAGTGTGAGTTCTCATTACCTCACAGCCTCATTACCATTGGTATTTATTGTTTGTTTGTTTGTTTGTTTGTTTTTAATTTAACCATTCTTGTCGGTATATAATGATATCACATTGTTTAATTTGCAGATTCTTGATGACTAATGAAATCATTACTTTTCACATATTATTGATCATTTGAAGTTGGATTTGGAGAGCCTCTTTTTGAAGTGTCTGCCCAAAACTTTTGTCCATTTCTCTACTGGATTGTCTTTTTCTTACTGAGTTGTAAAAGTTCTTTATATATGTGAGTTCTTTATTGGATGTCTGTATTATAAATATATCTTCCTATTCAATAAAGTGCCTTTTGTTTTCTTAATGGTGTCTTTGAGGAATAAACATTCTTACTCTTAATGTAGTATGATTTGTAATTCATTCTTTTAATATCATAAATTATCAACATAATTAACATAAGTTGCTGTTTCAAAGCTCCTCAATGAACACTTATAAAACCATTTTAAAAGATCACTATACAAAGTCTGAAAATGTATGTAATTACAGTAATGACAATGTTTTTGAAAATCTATGTATCTGGAAAAAATGGAAGAAAAAACAGTTGAAAAACATTTTTTAAAGGTAGTGAAGAAATACCGAAAGAAAGTCTATTTTTAAAACCTTCTGAGTGCTTTTTACCATATACATATTTCTATGAGCAATGTGCCTTCGTGTACCCATCATAACAATCTTCCTCCATATAGCTACTTCTATCATATTGCTAAAACAAATGTTTATATTGATCTATACTTAATTATCACAAGTCCATCTGTCTCTACCAGACAATGAACCTCTTGAATCTTGCTCTTTATATTCCCAGTTCCAGTGACAAGTCTGGAATATAAAAGGTTATTTTGTAATTATTTAATGAATGAATGCATTGCTTGATGAATAGATAAATAAACAGGATTTTTCCAAATCTTAGCTATTCTTTCTCTCTATATATTACATACTTGGAAATTTCCTTAATGCTTTCAGACATTATGGAAGAGTTTTTAATCTCTTACCTCTAAGTTCCTGTAATTTAGGAGTTCTTAGCCATCTTTAAAATCCAGAATCCAAACGTCTGGCTCAGTTACCAGCCAGGGTGGGGAGAAGAAATGGAGCATAGGGAAATTCTGCTTTCGCTAAAGAATTGTGTTACACACCATTATTTCAGCCTGCGTTTACCCCAGATTTCACAGACCAGTGCGTATATTCCAATTTACAAAAAGGTAAAAGCCTCAGGAAGACCTAACACAAATACATGTAAACAAGAGGCACATTTACTAGGACAATATACAGGGATATGGTAGGTCTTACACATTCCGGGTCCACCCCCCGCCCCGGGTAAACGATATATTTACAAATGGCCCAAGATATACAAATTATATATGAGATATACAAAAGTTTCTTATTTTCCATCTGTACTTCATACAGACACTCTGCAGTTGAATGGAAGTTCCTTGACAGCAGCAATCATGTCTGTCTTATTCCCTGCTATATCTCAAAATCTAACACACTCTTCCACTGTGGGAGCAGAAGACATTCTATCTGGTGACACCAGACATGCACTAATCATCTTGATTGGTTAGCACTTGCAGGGCTGCATCCCCAAGTCAGCGAGGACCTTTTATATGCTATCCTTAGAATTTCACATCAGGCAATGATATGAAAGTTTTCCCATGGCAAGCATGTGTTTGTTGTTCCTTGCCCTTTCTCCTTCCCCTCTTCCAAACCACCAGCCTGGATTTTAAGCATTGCCCTTCCCTCATACAGCCTTTCTCTACCTAGCCACAACTTCCTTTGCAAAAGTAATTATTAATATCTTGCCTTTCATATATCAGGAATATGCCAAAAAGCACTGATTGTCATGCATAAGGCTACCTGAAAATTTGCCATACCTCCAGTTACAGGCATACCTCATTTTACTGTTTTACAGGCATACCCTGCTTTCTAGTGCTTTGCATATATTGTGCTCTTTAAAAATGGAATATTTGTGACAACCCAGTTGTCGAGCAAGTCTATTAGAGCCATTTTCCCACAGCATTTGCTCACTTCATGTCTCTGTCATTTTTGGGCAATTCTTGCAATATTTCAAACTTTGACACCTTTATATTTGTTATGGTGATCTGTGACCTGTGATTACAACTAACTGAAAGCTCAGAAGATGGTTAGTATTTTTAGGAACAAGGTATTTCTTAATTAAGATATGTAGGGTAGTTTTGAGACATAATGCTGTTGCACACTTCAATATGCATAAACATAAACTTTTACACACACTAGGAAACCAAAAAAGTCATTTGACTTGCTTTATTGCAATACTCACTTTATTGTGTTGGCCTAGAACCAAACCTGCAATATCTTTGAGGTATGCCTGGACTAGATTTTTTCAGACTCTCTAGACTATTTTGTGCAATGCAGGCTTTCTTATCCACTGTTCTTCGTATAAGGAAGTTGCCATTCTTGCCTGGCTACACTAACGTGCATTTAGAATTACATATCCATTTAGATTACATTCCTCTCCAAGAGATCAGATGTGATCCGTGCTCTGTCAGATTTCTCTCTATAAAGGGTGACCTTGAAAGGTCTTGCAGAAAGTGGCCTCTTGAATCCTGGGCGTTTAACCTCAGCTGTGCTTGCTCACAAAGTAGGCTCCATGCCATGGATCCTGGTACTTTTCAAGTACTGTTGCAGAGAGAAGGAACAATGCTTAACTACAGCCATAACTTCCTCTCAAATAAGGTAAAGAATGTCAAAAGCTGGGATTGTAAATTATGTGGCATATTCCGAGGGCAGAAATCAATTTCTGTGGAACTGGAATGGAACACCTGCCTCATTTAAGGCTACCATATGACGCATGGTTTCACAAGTGTTCAGAAAACTTCATTTACTTTACAAGACTCAATGAATTCTTGAGTTCCCTCCCTTGGGTAAAACAAAATGGTAGCTATAGTTAAGGCTGCCATAGCAGTTGCTTGTGTGACGAGAAATAGAATCAAGGAAAGATCTGCAAAGATGAACATGAAAGGGACATTCAGACATGGGTTTTGGAACACAGTTGCAGTGTTGCTTCTCTCCCTGGCAGGTGTCAGTAGCCATCAGGGCCACCTTCTCTCTCACACAACCTCCCACAGTGTGAGGCCTCGCACACAGTTAGAGGTCATATTCTTAGGGTGGCCGGGACCATCTTTCAAACAATGAAAAGACATCTTAACGGGGGAAATGAGTCATCTTGGGAGCTAGGCCGAGGATGGGTATACCTTGATAATGGCGTGTTTAACAGAAAGATTCTTTACTCTCATGGCTGCCTTAGTGCACCATCCAGTCCCTGGGTTCCCTGACGGCCCACGGCCCACTGACTGCACACCCTTCCGATCCAATTAATGATGGCTCCCACGCCTCCTGCCAAGCACATTTCCAATTTAAGCGGTCTCCAGCTCTCCACCACCACCACCACCCACTTCTCTCCTCCCCCTTCCCATTCCTCTCTGTGGGGGTTAGTTAACTAGTTGCCTACTTACTAATCCTTCTATTAACAAGATTTCAGCCACCCTCCAAGGCCATACACTGAAATCTGTGAGGATTTGTGACTCTGACAGGGAAAAAAATTAGAAAACAGCTAGCAAAACTTTCCTGAAGGATAGACATACCCAAGATCTAAAAATTATCTTAAAAGGACAGATTCCACCCTATGAATCCCCTCTTCTTACCTCCAGCTAGCTCCCTTTGATGAAAGATCGGTAACCTTAGCCATAAATGACAAATTCTGTAACAATTAGGTTTCTTCCCGGGAGCTCCATGGGGATGCAGGAGTAACTCTGTGGTTGGGGGGAGGGGTGCGGAGAGGAGGCTTGGGGGGCAGGTTCCTAGAGACCCCATTCTTCCTTTGGCCACCTGGTCCCAGGTTGCCGCGTCCCCCGGCGGCGCGCGCAGGTCAGCGCCGCGCCCGGGCTGTGGTGTGACTCGGAGGGGTGTGACTGCGAGCCCCCCGCGCGCGCCCGCCCCCACCCCCGCACCCTGTGCCCGCCCGCGTAGCGTGACTGGCCGCCGCCGCAGACCCGGCTCCAGGAGGCGCAGAGCGCGGCGCGCTGAGTGGGAGAGGCGAGCGGACTGCTGCCGAGCGGACTGCTGCCTAGCGGCCGCCGCGCTATCCTCCCTCCTCCGCTCCCTCCGCCCTTCTCTGGCGGCCGCGCTGCCTGGGAGCCCGGGAAGCCGCGGCGGCTCCGAGCCCGCAGCTCCGGCGCGGGGACCAGCGGCGAGGCGGGGGCGGCGGGAGCGCGGAGACCACAGGCCCAGGGGACAGGCGGAGGGGGGCACTGGCCTGGGCGGGCAGAGCTGAGCGTGGGAGTGTTTGCGCGTGAGATCTAGGGCTGCTCTCGTGCTCCGTGCGGACCCCGCCAGCCCCAGCCCAGGTCGCCGCAGCCCAGGAACCTCCCGGCCCGTGCCCCAAGGCACGCGCGGCACAGCCATGAACACCAACGATGCCAAGGAGTATCTGGCCCGGAGGGAAATCCCTCAGCTTTTCGAGGTAGGGGGCTAGGGCTGGTGGACGGCCGGGGGGATCCGGGGAAAGCATCTCCGGGCCTGGGGAGGCGGAGGCGGCTCCCCGTCCCACCTTGCAGATACGGGGCATGGAAGTGAAGGGGCTTGCAGAAGCTCGCTTTCCCGCTTGCTCGGGGTAGTCGCCTTTCCAGCGGGTGGCCGGGGTCCTTGTCCGATGGCTGGGCTCAGGAGCCCTAACCTCGCAGATCAAGTTTCAGTCTTCCAGCAGGGCTCTGGAAGCAGGTTGCCCCCAGCGTACCCCTCGGATGTGCAGGGTGGGCTGCTGGCGGCGCTCGGCCCCGCTTTCTAGGGGCGAGGGCCAGGCCAGGTGGGTACGCTGGCGCTCAGGAGCGAGCAGGGACTCGAAACCGAGGGGTAGAGAGCCCTAGCACCTACGTGCGCGGAGGGTCAGGACCCCGCAGTGAAGGGGAAGTGTGGACGGAAGTAGCCTTCTGCGGGGATAGCTTGGAGGAGAGGGATGAAGATGCAAAAAACAAATCCAAACCCGTCGAGCGCAGCACTATCTCCCTGGTGGCAGGCGCCCAGCGCTGCTATGCGCTTTCGGTGAATGAACTCCTGTGCACGTTTTCCGTTGCCTTGGAAGGGATCATTCTCCTTCCTCGCCTCCCGGACTGTAGCTTTCGCCTGCTTTCTCCATCCCACCTAGAGAAAGCAAGTCAGAGAGAGAGCCGCGCGGCGGGCGTGACTCCTGTTGCTCTGTCTTCGGACCACATTACAGCATCATCTCTACCGGGGTCCCAGGGGATAAGGAACACTTGGGAATGTGGGAGAGGAGGCTTGAGAGATGAACTAAAGGAACCTTGTTAGTTCTAAACCGCAGCCTACGTCTCGGAGCCTTTTGCTTCCTTTCCTTCTCTCTATATTTGAATTTTGGAATATTCCTGAGTTCTTTTTATGTTCTCAGTTAAAAACAAAACAAACAAAAAATGGAAGCTAGCCAAGCTTCATAGATGGAGCCCTGACAGATGAATTCCATCCACTGCAAACCCCTCCCCCCCATTTCTAAAAGATGATAGATAGACTGTAGACTGAGTCAGTAAACCAAGGGTCATGAGTTGTTGGAGGTTTGGTCTGCTAAAAGGAATTTTAAAACACCATTTGGGAAAAAGAATCTGTTGCCTTTTTTCCAAATTGCCTTTAATATGGGCCCCCATAATTGTAGATCTTCATTTTTTTCTCACCTCTGTAAGCCACTGGTTTCAGGTTGGTCTGAAGCCAAGATTTCCAGGTAAACCATACACTGAGCACAAGCCTGGTTTGTGAAACCCAAATCTAGCAAGTGTGTTACTCATGTTTGAAAAGAATGGGGAGGTGTTGCATAAGGACAGGTCTCGGGGGTGGGTAGGATTCTTCAAGGGTTTTCCTTTTTCTTTTTAATTTTCAAAAAATAAATATGGAGCAGAAGAGTTAAAAACACTAGGAAGGTTTTTGTCATAAATATTAATTCTGAGATAAATTTCATTTCTATACTTCTAAAAGAATAATTAGAAACATCTGCAGGAATGCCACCTGATTGCAAATTGCTGTCTATTTTCTTTGTAAATGTAGATACTGTTTTTCCTCCTTGGTAACCACAGAGATTTTCGATAGTTTGTTCATTAAAGTCTACACTGTGTATGCAGATAGGTGATAGCTGGCATTTTTGTTCAGGTATTATGTTTTGTTTTTCTGCATATGAATGGGACATTTAAATATAGTGTACACCCAGAAAGGGAAGTCTACTCCCTTAGGTGAAATGCAGTAATACAATGTACTTAAATGCAATCCTGGACAACTGGAAGATGGAAAAGACTTCTGGGGACCTCCAAAGACTGCATCCCACCAGTAAGAATCTATGCTTTATCCAGCACAAGACAGAAGTAAAACCTACCAGTTCTCCATGTAATAAACATAGACAGCAAAACCAAATGCTTTGTTTCCAAACTGGATTTTCTCCAGTAATAATGGTATGTGAAGTTTCTAACTATACAGTTTATCAATTAGGTATCTATCAAACCAGAAACATTGCCTCAGCTGTAGACTTTAGACACCATTATAGATGGAGCAATTGATTATTAAATCTATATACTGTCAGACAACTAGATGTATATAATTGACCTTTTCAGATTTTCTCCTGACTTGAAACATCACATGCACTAAATAGGATATCTATGGTAGGTTCAAGTTTGAAATGTGCTTCCATTTTTAGAGTAAATGTTTAAAATAAAAAACACTTTCCCCTGATACTGTCATGATTTCTTAACTTTAGGTAACATTAGGGTGTATGTATTGATCTTATATTACTGTACCTTAGAACAGAGATTTAGCAATTAATTTGAATTCTAGTGAAAGTCAAATTAGATTATTCAGGTTCTTAAAGGATTAACTCAGAATAATAATGTCTCTTGGTTTTCTTGGATCCCTGATGGTGGCTGATTATTAGAGGGAAGGGTTAAAATTATCCATGAAGGAGTGGAACTGTTTCCCTCTAAAATCAGTACCCTTTGGGGAATCAGATTTCTTTAGGGAGGCTGGAGATGTATATTTTCCAGTAAAAAAAAATTTTTTTTTTCATTAAGTATGTTCACTCATTTTTGGCAAGAATAGGGAGTTTTAAAAAAGAGAGACCATGAGTGCTTCGTATTGTAGTTGGATTATGTATGGGGCACAGATAATCTAGCATTTTCTTTTTATCTCATATCATAATTTTGCAAGACATAGAGAGAGAAATATGTAGGTTTTGGAATCAGAAACACTGAATTGGAATCCTTGGTTTACAAGTTTCCAGCTGGATAACCTTGATCAACTCATTAACATCTCTGAGCCATGGTTTCCTAATCTATAAAATGGGGGTAATAGTACCACATAGGGCTAAGAGTGCATTGGGTGAGCTAAGGCATACAAAGAAACAGAGGAAGCACAGCCACAGTTAACTATATTAACATAGAAATGTGAGGAGTTAAACACAATGTGTGTGTCCGTGTATGTGTCAGCATGTGTCTGTGTATATATAACACAGGTCTTGACACACAAATGGAATGTGGATGCTCAGATTAGTTTTTTCCTCTCCCTCTGCAGTTGAACTCCTCCCAGCACTCTGACAATTTGGTATTTGAGAGAACAAATGTACCTGGAAAGAACTACATACCACTTTTGAGCAAATTGCACAAGAATAATTTGAAAATACAATACTTTATTTAGCAAAGATGTCAGTCTTTCAAAGGATGTGTGTGTGTTGTACATTAATAATGTATATTGGTGATAATATTCCTCTATGCTTTTTCCGTGAAATACTGTAAAGGAAAATATTTTGCACATCAGTCCAGTTCCCAGGAGTCATCATTTCCAAGTTTGTGGCATTTTTAGAAACTACTACATGTGACATATTGGACACCAGGTTTTCCTCTGTAACCTCAATGGATATTATGGTGATCTATTATATATCAAATAGCATTTTTTAAAGTGTCAGACTATGTTTTGAATAAATTTTTTTTCCCAATTAGAAAACAGTCCAATGTGCCCCTACCATGTGCCAGGGACAATGTCAAGGGCTAGAGACTGAAAAATAAAAAAGACCTACTTGCAGTATTTGTAATACAATGTTGTTGAAGAGTTTATAGTTTAGAAAATGAGACCAAAACATAAATTGATGGTTTCAGTATAAATGACAGGTAAAACTTTTTTTTCTGGGTAATTTGGAACGCCAGGAAGAGGTCCACAAGCCAACCTGGGTGCTCAGAGGAGGCTTCCTGATCATAATAATATTAAAACCACCAACATCTATTGAGTATTTACTTTGCTCCAGGCCCTCAATATGCACTTTACAAATATTATATTTTTAATCCTTAAAAATTCTTGGAGGTAGGTAGAACTCCATTTCACAAATGAAGAAACCAAGGCTTGGAAGCTTTAAGAATGGGTAGGAATAAGACAAGTAATGACTGGAGCATTTTTACACACTGCACTTTATCTCACTGTGATAGGGTGCCTCCATTTTAAATAATGTTGTTGTCTGAATTGTGTAAAAGGCAGAGAATGCTGAGCTGAACACTAATGGTCAAGAATTTAGGGGTTATCTTGGGGTGCCTGGGTGGCTTAGTGGGTTCAGCCTCTGCCTTTGGCTCAAGTCATGGTCCCAGAGTCCTGGGATCGAACCCTGCATTGGGCTCTCTGCTCAGTGGGGAGCTTGCTTCCCCCTCTCCCTCTGCCTGCTTCTCTGCCTACTTGTGATCTCTCTCTCTCTCTCTCTCTCTCTCTGTCAAATAAATAAACAAGTAAATAAAATCTAAAAAAAAAAAAAAGAATTTAGGGGTTATCTTAATTACTCAGCAGATCATGATTCCACCTCTAATTGTTCGTTAAAAAAATAAATGCAAAGAACAAAGGCAACCCAGAGTTCAAAGATGAGTCATAGAACTATTTTAACAAAGGTGGTTTCAACACCTATTTCATATGGGCATATTTTGTTGTATTCCAGAGCCTTCTGAATGGACTGATGTGTTCTAAGCCAGAAGACCCCATAGAGTACTTGGAAAGTTGTTTACAGAAAGTCAAGGAATTAGGCGGCTGTGACAAAGTGAAGTGGGATACATTTGTCAGCCAGGAAAAGAAGACCTTACCTCCTCTCAACGGAGGACAATCACGGAGATCCTTTCTAAGAAATGGTAATGTATATGTAGAATAATGGTTTATTATTATTATTATTACAGCAGTTCTTTTTATAAAACACACCATATAGACTGTAGAGGGTCATTTATTTTAATAGGTTTCCAAAAGCCTAGAGAGATATTTGGCCCTGGAACATGATTAATCTCTCTGCTCCAAATTCTGATCACCCTTGTGATGAGACAAAAGCTCATGCCACTGTCCAACATTTCCCGAAAGGCTTAATGAAGTTTTGTATTTCTGACTTCATTATTTTGCAAAATCAATAACATTAGCAAACTATGAATTTTTCTTAAAATTGCAGAGTTTCCCAAATAAATGGATAGACAAAATAGTTATTATGTAACAATTCAACATTTCTTAATTAGCTGGGAAGAGCTTGGCATAATATGTTTCCAAACTCAGAGTTCGTATTAATGCATCTGCCTAAGTGCATATTAAGTTTATACTAATTAATCCAGCAAGTATTTATTAAGCAGCTACTGAATGAATCATAATAGATTAGGCATTTGGATGCTATAAAAGAAGTAGAAGACATGAACTTGTCTAGCAATTTTAAGAATAGCTTGGAACTAAGAACTGGAGTTCACCAGAGGAAATTCAGGGTATATTCTGAGAACTTTCTGAACTACATGCTCATCAAAATTAATGGTTCAACATCAGCCAACCACCTATTAGGCTCTGGTTGAAATTGAGAAGTATAATCATCTGTGAGGTACAGAATCAGAAGAAACCAAGTTTATTCTTTCCCAGGGGCCAAGATCATTATATTTTCAAAATTTACACCACTTTCAAAAATTATACCATGAAATGTTTGCAGTATTTGTAATACAAGTATTACAAGCATTTGTAACAAATACAAGAGGGAAATAAACTCCAGTTTATTTACTTAGTCATGACTTGCTTAGATTTTATTTGAATCAGTGTTTGTAGGGCGGGGGGTAGTTACAGTGTGTTAATTTTAAGAAGCACAAACAGAAAGGGTAGGCAGAAACAACATATTCTCAGAAGCATCTCCAGAGAGCAGGATACTTCCCTATCCATGTAGTAGTCATCACTGGTTGGTAGAGGCTCAAAGGTGCAAGTGACCATTGTCTCTTGGGCACATCACTCAGCAAATTTCTGCTTTGGAGAACAAATGATGTTTTCATGGCCTTGAAAGTTTCACGTACCTTCCCCAAACAGCTAACTTACTTCCCTGGGTATTGTTATACTGTTAGAATCTGGCCCTTGTTTAATTCAGTGAGATAAGTATGGGGAACCATTTCTAAACCTTAAAGTACTAACAAACCTCAGGTATTACTGGATTTAGTCTAAAATATTTTTACATTTCTAAAATTTAAATTTAAGAGGTATGTCATCCCTTAGTCCAAAAGGTGCTCTTAGACTGGGTATGAAAAGTGACTGTTTTGCAACAAAATAAAATCCGAATGCTTCTATTTCATACCGTTATTTGGCTTGATTATACATAGAAGCCAGGTAGGCCAAGTGTGTAGTAGAAAACAGGGGAGACTGTGGTCAAGTAAGTGAGAACAGTCATTATCTAAAGACAGTCATGTACAAATTTTGGAAAAATGTTGACTGAACAAAACATCTCTAAGGGGCTGTATTAGGCCCACAAATCACCAGTTTGGAACTCCTGTGTGAGCAGGATAAGCTAAAACAGGAATGGAAAATATAGGTTTAACTTTCATTAGAATTACAATTGTGTATTAATTTTAAAATCTCCATATCTACTAATACTTTACCAGAATTCTTTCTCTGAGATCTTTTAATCATCAAATAGAACCTTTCAATGTACTATGATGACAAGAATGCCTTGTTACATTCCTGTATCTAAGACACATGCTGAAAGACAGAAAATGGTTTCTAAATGGAATTTTCTGTAATAACATTTTATTTTATGAAATGGTTTGCATACTTGTGCTTTGTAAGTTTTAGCTATAATTTATGGAATATATCATTAAATTAAAGGAAACTGATAACTTCCTCATAACTTAAAACATCATTATTTCTAGAAATAAAGTGATTCATGCATATTTTGCTGAAATATTGATATAGCTATGTTAATATATAATTATCATAAAAAATTATTCTGTGAATTAAAACATTTTAATCATTTAGGCAAATTGCTTTCATACATAAAGGTATGATAAAAAGCAAAGATAAACTATTGACTGAAGGGATTTTATTATCAATGTAAGATAAGCATCCATTTCCCCCCCCATCATATGTACACAATTGAACAAATAATTAGTTGTGAATAAGAGTTCTAATCCTGTAGCTCCAAATGACCAAAGAGCTTCTGTTCTGGAATGTCTCATTATCGTCTTATACTCAACATGTTTAGAAGCAAGCATAGCATATTTGCTTCAAAACCAGCACTTCCTTCTTTTCTTATTTCAGTGAAGTCAGTCAGTGAATCAGTTGAGCATTAAAATAACCATTTATTAGCACTGCTATTGTCAGACATTCTTTTAGGACTGAGGATGTAGCCTCTGAGAAAGAACAAACATGGTACCTGCCCTCATGGAGTGACCTAGAGGGTATTATGTTTAGTGAAATAGGTCAGTTAGAGAAAGACAAATACTACAGGATTTCCTCACATGTGGAATTTTTGTTTGTTTTTCACTCACGTGTGGAATTTAAAACAAAACAAACAAACAAAACCAGAATCTTAAATACAGAGAATAAACTGTTGGTTGCCAGAAGGGAGGTAGTTGGAGATACGGGTGAAATAATGGGGATTAAGAGGACACTTCTCTTGATGAGCACTGAGAAATGTATAGAATTGTTGAGTCATTGCGTTGTAAACCTAAACTAATAAAACACTATGTTAATTATACTTCAATTTTAAAAATAAAAAATAAAATAATAAAGTAAATTAAAAAGAAATGTTTTGTAAATACTATAGGAGTATAGATAGTGAACACTCTATACAGGTATGATGTATGTGTATTATATACATATATGGTATATATACACACTATGTATATATATCATATGTATACAAATAATATACATACATGCATATATACATATATATAAGTAATATGTATGTATATAAGTCATATACATATGTATATGGTATGTACATAAAAATTATATAGACTATAATGTTGGGGTTGTTTTTTAAGAATTTTTAGAAGAAATGTTGATCAGGAATAGTTGTTGAAATAAGAATAATGAAGTCGGTGATCATTTTGGCTATGGAATAAAAAACATTGATGGTGAAAAAAATATACTTAAAATTAGAAGCAGAGTGGGTGATTTAGGAAATACCATATGCGATAGGATCAACCACATTAACAGGGGTATGGATCCAACCTAGGCTTGGGTTCAGGGTAATGCTTGGAGACAGAAAGCTGAGTGGGTGTTAGCTAGAGAAGGATGGCGGAGTTTGAGTAGGTACCAGGGATAGAGAATAGGAGTTCCTGACCCAGAGGAAGAGGCTATGATATAGACAGGAGTGAGAGAAGCCCACTATTTGTGGAGCAGAAGAGAGAAGGCAGAAAGATGCTATATGAAATGCAGTGTGTTCCTTATTTATTTAAACTTGAAACCTGGTAATTGTCTTTGTAATATCACCTCCTTTCATGTCACGGATCCCAGTCTTAACCATGTTCTTCATATCTAACCACTCATGTCCATTTCCCATGCTACCCTTCTAAGTGAAGCCCTCATTTCTCACCTGTGCATTACTGTACCTGACTTCTAGCTGCTGCTCTTTGTGCTCCGCATCTCCCTACTCAATCCCTTCTAACCACTACCAGATTAATCTTCCTAAAAAACATTTCATATTAAATTATGTCACTGCTTTACCCTCCCACCCCCAAAAAAACTCTCTGCTGGTTTTCTACCAGATTAAAGCAAAGGCTCTTCACCCTGTGGCCACATTCAGCCTACCCGTCTTCTGGGTGTTAGGACTTCTCTGTGTCCCCCAGAATCCTGAAACACAGGGTGAGGAAGGAAGGAACCATGAACTATAGGAATCCCGGCTAAGGCTTGAACAACGCGGGAGTTAACAGCTGCATGAGGTTGTGAAAGTTGTGAGATTGTATACTACACAACTCTAGGGAGCACCATTTGCAGAGACCAGGATATATACAGACTACCAAACAAGACTAGGCACTACTCAGAAAGTTTCCTCTGAACAGGAGTTGGCAAACTATAACACATGAGCTAAGTCTGTCTCAGTCTGTCAGTCTGTCTCAGACTGACCTGAGTCTGGTTTTTTTTCTTTTTTTTTTAAATTTCTTTTCAGCGTAACAGTATTCATTGTTTTTGCACCACACCCAGTGCTCCATGCAATCCGTGCCCTCCCTAATACCCACCACCTGGTTCCCCCAACCTCCCACCCCCGTTTTTATAAATAAGGTTTTATCATAACACAAGTTCATCCATTTGTTTATATGTTGTCTATGACTTCTTTCCTGCTACCATGGCCAAGTGGAGTATGAGACTGTTCGATGTTCAAAATATTGCCTATCTGGCCCTTTAAGAAAAAGTTTGCAGATTGCTTACAGGATGCGTTCTTCTTCCAGTTGAAAAAAATCAAACTCATTTAGTTTGAAAATTTTTCTCTACTCATGGGCTAAGTACAAAAAATGTTTTATTATGCTTATTTTTTTCCCGTTTCAAAGTTCTCTTACTCTTTTGCAGTAATGCCTGAAAATTCAAACTTTCCATACCGGCGGTATGATCGGCTCCCTCCAATCCATCAATTCTCCATAGAAAGTGATACGGACCTCTCCGAGACCGCAGAGCTAATTGAGGAGTATGAGGTTTTTGATCCTACTAGACCTCGACCCAAAATCGTTCTTGTCATAGGTATGAGGACAGAAAGCAAAATTCTTACACTACTGCTGTCTTTGCTTATATATTTACATTTCAAAAAATTATGCTAATTATGTGTATTTGCAAATACTAAGTTGGGTAATGACAAACGATAGAAACAAGAGCTCAAGAGCTCAAGAGCTCAAGAGAGAGTAGATAGAAATATTTTTAGCATAATTTCCAATAAAACGGAATTATTATAATTATAGTTATATGATCTTTTATAGAATCTCATTACAATGTCCTAAAAATTCTCTATAATAAATTGAAAGTATTAATTTCCTCAAGATTTAGTATCCTCTGGTTTTATCTGTTTAACTTTTAACATAGATAACTGAATGACTTAAAAGTTTTCTAAACATGATATGTTTTTATCTTTTTTACTCAACAAATTGAATTTTTCTTCACTACTAACTTTAGAGGGTAATAATAATAATAATAATATGTTGGTAAAGACTCATATAAATGAATCTTCCATAGAGCAAACTGGCACCTAAAGAAAAATTTAAGTTTTGATGTTTCAGACAAGCAAATCTAGTAGAATAGTATTTTACACAGCACATAACATCTGAGTGTCAATCAAAATAATAATAACAGTTACTTTTTAACATTGCTTACTATGAATGAGTATGAAAATATTAGTCTGATGTCATTTCAGAAGGAACGGATGTGGAAAATGTTGAAAGTCTTTTGCAAAACGCATTTCTGACCTTTCTCGCAAATTCTAACTTCCTCAAAATCTGTAAAAATCATGAGGAGACCTGTGAACCTGGAATATGTCATCATTGTCTCCTGTTCCAGTTTGACTCATCTTTCAGAGAGATGACCAAAAGCGAAAATCAAGCGTGAATGTTCAAAACTCTTCTTGTCAGTAATGTTAACAGAGGGCAAAATGAATATGGCCCCCTATGCAAGGAAGTACTGTTTCCAGAAGATATAATGATGATAGCAACTAGGACAAAAGCATGCAAATAAACACACCATGCTATAACAAGAATTTAAGTTCACCATACTAGAAGGAGTGACATTGGTCTATCTCTCAGTGTAATGAAAATGAAATTGCAAATATATTTAACCCTGAATTGTTTAAAACAGTAGTGTAGGAAGAAAGTATAGAAACTGGCTTTCTAAAAGTCATTATTCTTATGATGTATGGGAGACACAATTATGCCATAAATCTCTCATTTTTTGAAAATGAAATGTTGTCTGTGTGTGCTTAAAAGTTGGACCTAGAAGATGAGGAAATGCTTGATTAAAACAGAGCTACAAAAACAAACAAACAAATAAATAAAACAGAGCTACAGGTGAAGAATAATTGGAAATTATTTTGCCATTTTATGATGAAATATTCTTTCGATCTTATTTTTCTTGTTGCTATTACTAAAATATTGGTAATTATTAATAGGACAAACAAATGGAGGCTTGACTGCCCATGAAAAAGGTGTAATACCAAAATGCTCTCATGTAAAACAACACATATATGAATTTTTTGTGCATTGTGAATTTTGTATGAAAATGACTAAAATATTTCAACAAACTAAGATCTCTGGAGAAGATATAAATGCTTCGAATCTCCTCTGCTTCAAAGAACTCCACAGTTCTTTTTTACTCAGTAAAATCAGCTGGCTTCCCAAGAGTGTGATTCTGGTTTTAGACTTACACACTATAAAGTTTTATGTATCCCAGGAATGATGCAGAACCAATGAGTGTAAATAACTTTTAGATTTTAGAGGACTGAGTTATGAGAAGAAAGGAAAAACTGAACCTTAGGTTATCTGAGAAAATTGGGGCAATTTTATGAATTGTGAGGAATTATAATTGTACTCAAACCTTATAAATTTGTATTGTACCAGACTAAAAAAGGAGTGGAGCAGGTACAGATACCCACGTGGTTTTCCATTCAAATAAACAAAATTTCCTTTCTGGTGATGCAGAATTTTTTTTAACGCTGGACTTCTTGGCACAGACATGAATCTCTCTTACGTTAATTATAAAATTTAAGAGATAGATGGATCTTAATATTTATAAGTATTAGCGATTAATAGAATAAAATTAAGCTCACTCTGGTTTCAGAGAGAATGTGAAATTAATTTGTTAGTTAAGCCCATCTAATAAATTAATGCTATTCTCTTCTATTGTGCAAATCATATGTTTGTGTTGTCTGCTATTTGCTTCTGTTAGTTGACAAAATTTTTTTTCTTGAAGGTGCCATAACTTTCTTAGTATGCTTGATTTTTTTGAATTCAGTGGGATTTATAATCTCTTAGTTTGATGGTTTATGAGATAAAGTGTGGAAATATAGTTTATGAAAGATAACTTTCATTCTTCAAGGATCAAATCAGCTTAAATTTTTTTTTAAAGATTTTATTTATTTATTTGACAGACAGATCACAAGTAGGCAGAGAGGCAGGCAGAGAAAGAGGGGGAAACAGGCTCCCTGCTCAGCAGAGAGCCCGATGTGGGGCTCAATCCCAGGACCCTGAGATCATGACCTGAGACAAAGACAGGGGCTTAACCCACTGAGCCACCCAGGTGCCCCTCAAATCAGCTTAAATTTGATGGAGTTATTCATATAATTTTTTATTTCAAGCCAATCCATGAAGCACATCATAGGTTAATAGGCCTAAAACAGCTATTTAGAACCCACACTTTTTATCTGCAAAGGAATTAATTTAATTTAGTAGTAGTTCATAATGTTATATCTAATAGAGTAGGATTTAGAGTTTCTTGGAAAGAGAATAGTTAAAAATGCAAACAAATTCCTATCCTGAGTTTACTAAAGCAGTAAAAAAAAGGTGAAAGTCACATGTCATCAGGTGTATTATTTGGTGTTAGGGTTGAGAAATGATTCGCATTGATCTTAGAATTCTGCACCTTAAAATTTTTATTTTTGTTTTTTAATTTTTAAGGATTTATTTATTTATTGAGAGAGAGAGAGAGAGAAAGAGCAAGGACAGGGAAAGGGAGACTAGCAGACTCCTCTCTGAGCAAGGAGCCTGAAGCGGGGCTCCATCCCAGGACCCTGAGATTATGACCTGAGCCAAAATGAAGAGTCAGATACTTAACCAACCGAGCCACCCAGGCACCCGTGCACTTAAAAATTTTAAAGAGGAAATAAGCCCTGGCCAACTAAGTCTACTCTTTCCCAATTCTCCTTACTAAAAAACAAAGAAACACCTTTCTTTTTTACTTACTCCATTTGCAAAAAATAATTATGAAATAATTATATATAATATGACTTCTACTGCCCCTGCCAAAGCTTGATATATTGAATAAGTAGGGAGAACATCAACTTACTTTTCTATTGAATTTTTATTTTCAGCATTGCTTAATAAATTATAACTATTTTCAGTGAAAAATTCCAAAACATTTCATTCCTTATTAGACATTGACCTTTAGAAATATTTTTCTGTAGTCAATAACTTATGCTTAAATACTTGAAAATATTTCAGTTTGATAATTACGAAGAAGTTACAAGTCAGGGTGCCTGGGTGACTCAGGTGGTTAAGCCTCTGACTTCAGCTTGGATCATGATCTCAGTGCCCTAGGATCTAGCCCGGAGTCATTGGGCTCCGTGCTCCAAGGGGAGTGTACTTTTCCCTCTCTTTCTCCTTCTGTCCCTCCTCCTCCCCCTGTTCATGTTCTCTCTCTCTCTCTCCCATATGAATAGAGTGTTTAAAAGAAAAAAAAAAGTGACAAATCAAAATCAGACTGGGCTGATTGCTATATGCTTTATTTAGATTGCTTAGACTTCAGATTCCAATTAGTCTAGGTTTTTTAGAAATATAAATTAAAATAATCCAATATGATTGGAAATAAAATGTGAGGCATATATTTTATAATTATTTCAGGACTTAAGCTTCTAAAGCGTAAATGGTAATTACCAATGATTAGTATTAAGATTGCAAAATGTGGATTACTTCGTACTAATGTATCACAAAATCGAAATTCTCATGAGCTCTAGGAAATTCTCCTGCTTTAAGAACCTATTCCATTCATTCTGTATTCATTGCATAAACCTTCTTTGGAATTTAAAGGAGATGAGGCAAGGAGACCCATGCACAGAGTTTAAAAAAAAAAAGATTTAAATAAATTGTCTCAATATTGATGTCCCTTTGGGTTTAAAAACAACTGTTACATTTCACCAAATTGCACATTAGCTCTTTGTTGGCATGGAACGCATTTCTGTTATTTTGATCATTATCTCTTGTGTCTCATAGATTTTTCTTTGATTACAGAGGGAAAAAAAATAGGTTTTGCAAAGAACATGAAACTGTTTTTCACAACTGCATTGTTCAATTTTCTAAAGTAGTTATTTACTAAACTAGGTAAAGGAAAAAATGTCTCTTTCATCTAAGAAAGTTGATCATAGTTCCGTCCTCTCCTTGGCGAAGCCTACACTTGGTTTGCCTTCAGAGTTAGCACCGAGAATGGTGGAAGAGTGGAGTTGCCCACCCTGCTACCCCTGATCTAGACTCTGCATCTCAAAACAGAGGTATTAGCTGTATAAAAAGGAGTTTCTTCTTGTATCCGAAGATCACAATTCTGCCTGTTTTAAATGATAGGTGGTCCAGGAAGTGGAAAGGGTACTCAAAGTTTGAAAATCGCAGAACGTTACGGATTCCAATACATTTCGGTGGGAGAATTATTAAGAAAGAAGATCCACAGTACGAGCAGCAATAGGAAATGGAGTCTTATTGCCAAAATAATTACAACTGGAGAATTGGCCCCACAGGTACTGCTGTGTAATTTGCTTCTATTCTGCAAAGATTTTTATACCAATGGTGAGTATAAGCTTCACTGTGTTTTTTTTATCTTTTTTTTTAATTTATAAAAGGAAACAACAATTACAGAGATAAAACAGAAATTGATGCAAATACCTGATGAAGAGGGCATTGTTATCGATGGCTTTCCAAGAGATGTTGCCCAGGCTCTGTCTTTTGAGGACCAAGTAAGAATGTCTCTATTTTAAACGATGTATTTTTGCTTAAAACTTTGATATTTATAAAAAAAAAAAAGATTTCTTGGGAGACTTGCTGTTATTCTGAAAGAATTCTGGTCTGAAAACAGGAAAGTACATCAGTATGGGTTGACAGAAGGTCATTTCCTTGGAATACATGCCTAAAAATTGGAGACTGTCTCTGCCAAAAACGAAAAAAGAAAAACTAATAATAGAATTTGTGATTTTTATTTAAAAAATGCAAACTTCTATGGATTTTATTTCAAAATACTTTACCTAAGATTATGTCTTTAATCTTTAATTACTTAAACCAAGCCTGTTCCATACCGCCCAGCAGTATAAAACATCACGCTGTACTTCCATGATTACCAAATCAGGAAACCCTCTTAAGTGAGGTGTAAAATACTAAACCACCTACCTATAACAAGGCAGGGTTCATGTTGCCAAAACTTACTCAAATTTCAGTAGACTATGCATGCTCAACAACTAATATGTATATTCTTAAGGGAAATAAATCAATTAAAATATTTTGTATATCTACTTAATCTTTGAAAAGCAGGGTGACTGATTTTTCATGTAAAATTTTAATTACAAAAATAACATTGTGGTCATAAAAATTTTAAGTCCGGTGTAAAAAGTGAAAGTTTACTAATACCCTTATTCCATTCCACTGCCCTCCTCTCCAAAGAAAAACAAACACTGTTAAGCTGGTTATAGGTCCTTCTAGGCCATTTTCTGTGCATTCAACACACACACAGCCATGCGTGTGCATATGTGCGTGCTCATAGACAAATGCATTTTTGATTTTCATAACTATTTCGAGATGGTCTTCCAAAAAAGACTTTTCCAAGTTATAGTCCCATCAATATTGAATGAAGTGTATTTCTCCAGAACCTTTCCAACTGGTTAGAATTCATATTTAAGATTTTGCCAGCCTGATAAGTAAGAAACAGTATTTCATCTTTTAAATGTACATTTCTTGAATTACTACTAAGGATGCTCTCAGATACTTTATTGATGATTTGTATTTCTTATGAGTATTACCTGCTTTGCTTTGCCTGTTTTTCTACGGACTTATTTATCTTTTTCTTATTTGAGAAGTCAGCTTCAAAAAGCCTCTCTGAATATTCAAGTGAACTATTTGGGGACATTGGTTATGCTGGAATGTCTTTCTCCCTCCTCAGGTTTCCCTCTCCCACAGTAGTCTAGAACCTCCCGTGCTTTCCCAGTTTGAGGACTTGGATTTAATTATTCTGCCTTGATGAGAGAAAAACCAGAAAAATCAATTTTTGTTGCTGTTGCGTTACCTGATGTTGCTGTTGAAAATGGGTGCTATGGCAGCTGTTCCACGTGATTCTTGGCTATTGGTGGAGCCCCGAGAGCCAAGGCAGGCATCCCCACTCAAACCCAGTCCGCCCTTTGAATGATAGGCATTTGGCGGGCATAAGCAGCATGAGCTTCTTGATTTTTTTCCTCTATTCTCTTTCAAACTTTCTGTGAGTCTCTCTCTTCTCCCCTGAATAACAACTCAGGTAGATCTCATAGCTTTCCTGGTCACTTAAAAATATTAAACAGACAGGGGTGGTTGGGTGGTTCAGTTGGTTAAGGTCCAACTCTTGATTTCAGCTCAGGTCATGATCTCAGGGTCATGGGTTTGAGCCCTGTGTCAGTCTCCATGCTCAATGGGGCGTCCGCTTGAGATTCTTTCCCGGTCCCTCTCCTTCTGCCTCTCTGCCCCTCCCCGCCGAAAAAAAAAAAAAGTGAATCTTTCAAATATTAACAGATAGTCTTACTTTCCGGTATTAAAAAACCCAGTCCGTAATTACATCTCAGTAAAGCTGGGGAAACTTTTTTTCACTTAAAAAAAAAAAAAAAAATGTCCAGGGCGCCTGGGTAGCTCAGTTGGTTAAGCCACTGCCTTTGGCTCAGGTCATGATCCAGAGTCCCAGGATCGAGTCCTGCATTGGGCTTGCAGCTCCACAGGGAGACTGTTTCTCCCTCTGACCTTCTCCCCTCTCATGCTCTCTCTCACTCCTTCTCTGTAGTGGATAAATAACATCTTAAAAATTAAAAAAAAAAAAGTCCAATATAAAATAAAAATTTCAGTTTTCCACTCAGTTTAACATATGTCGTCTTGGACCTGGTTCAGCCTCAGAAAGCCAAAGTGATGTCTCCGACTCTTGAAATTCTTATTCATGTGGATTATAGTGAGGCAGGTAGTGGGGAAAAGGGCAGGAAACGTAGCTCTCTGGCAAGTCTCTGGACACCTGACTGATCTCCACCTTCTCTTCCAAAGCCTGGACATGGGTGATGGGCCAGGGGTCATGATACTGGTTGGGGGCACCTGTCAGCAAGTTCTGTAAGATGGTCTGGTATCTCCGTAATACATCCAGCTCCGAGACTGGACTTTTCCAGCCTTTAGTCCGAGGCTGATAAAGTCTAGTCTCGCATCTTTCTCCAGTTGGCCTTGGAACATCCTATATAGAGGTTCTTGGCCACTGCAAGTAGAACAGTTGTGCTGAGTTGTGCCACCACTGCTGACCTGCCAGAGTTCAGAGGTTGCAGAGGCAAAGCTGAAGTGTTTATGCAAAGCAAAATGTTGGGGTCAGCCCTGATTACTCTGTACCCTATGTAGGCTCAAGCCTTTGTACTGTCTGTTTTTCTGGTACCATGTCTGACCCCAAATGTGTGAGGGTTTTCCCTCCCAGTTCTCCAATCCTCAGCACAAACAAGACATCTGATCATTGCATTCAACTTTGACACTAATTATCCGAGTTAGTCTGAACCCTACCAGTGAAGGGCTCAATCCCACAAGACTGTCCCCACTTCAGAGGTCACTGACAAGTTCCAGGGCCACCTGTATTTCTGTGCCATCACCTATAGATTCTGGGGTTCCCACAATGCTCTCATCAATTTCGATAATTTGCTAGAATGACTCACAGAACTCAAGAAAATGCTTTACTTACATTGAGGGAATTATGACGAGGTACAACTCAGGAGCAGCCAAATGGAAGTGATGTGTAGGGCATGGTGTGGGGTTGGGCATGCAGAACTTCCACGTTCTCTCTGGGTGCAGCACCCTCCCAGCACCTCAACATGTTTATCAACCCAGCAGCTTCATTGCTTAGTTTTTCTAACCCAATCTCTCTCTTCTTCCTGGAGACCAGGGAGTGTGGCTGGAAGTTCCCACCTTCTCATTGTTGGGTCACCAATCTTGGGTCTCCCAATAATGGGTCTATGGTCAAAGGAGCAAGACTGATACAAAGCGAAGGTCAAGCAAAGCTTTATTTTGCTCCAAGCATCAAGAATCAAACCAACCATCAAACAGACCGGTTGGGGCCGCCCCTTACAGAGAGGACAACCCCTCCCTGCCTCACAGACTAACTTTTATAGAGCAAAGGCCATGTGTTTGAGCCTGGCCACACACAGGTGGCCAATGAGATTTCAATACACACAGAAAGCTGCACAGTCATGCTAGGTCACACACAGGTGGCCAGTTGAACTACAATTCACCCCATAGTAGACATTTGCACTAGCCTATCGCCTTGGTGAGAATTGGCACCCAAAAGGCGGGGACCACACTCCTTGGTAGCTAGGAGACAGTATGAGCCCCCACTGATTGAATACCTCCACCTGGCCTGACCCACCCTTGTATTTGGACTTTGTTACCTGGGATTGGTTTCCTGAACTTGCTTTTAAATAAGTTCCCCTGGTGGGGGGTTGGCAGGGTCAATTTAAGTTTTACTGCATAAACAACAAAATGGCTGTTCAACAAAGGTAGGGGTGTTCTGGCTAAATAGGCCCTTACACTCATCTCATGTTTGGTCTTTCTGCCAGCAAACTCCCATCTGGACACTATTTTGGGCCCTGCTAGAGTCACTTCAACAACCTTGACTGAGGTGTGTTCAGAAGGTGTTCATTAGGGACAAGAGAAGACAGTCTTGTTACTCAGGAAATTCTGAAGGTTTTAGAAGCTCCGTGCCAGGAATCAGGGACAACAGCTAAATATGTATTTTCATGAGACCACAGCTACTCAGGGTTTTGTGTTTTTTTTTAGCTTTTTGTATGTGTCTCTGTGGACCCGTATATACACGCATGCAGAAATCTCCCCCAAGATTTCTTCCACAGGTCCAGGGCCTGAGAGGAGATGGATTTCTGATATTGACCACATACTGGTCATGGTCTTACTTCACACTTAGGTGTCTGATAGGACAAGGAAGTGTATTTTTTCTGTTAGGGAATATAGTATCAATGTGAAGTCCGGACTGACTGGACAGCTTTTCTCCGTGAGGTCATTTGGCGAGCATGGTTCCTTCCACATTGTTGTTCTGCCATTTCCTGGGATGCTCTCATCACCTGTAGGGTCAAAGCAGGGTTGCCACCACATATGGTTTCCAGCAGGCACGTAAGGGGAAGAGAACATAAACATCTGAAGATCTGAAGTCCCGGATGTAGATAGTGGCGGTTATCATTTCTGCTCACATAGCAATGTTAAGAATTTAGTCTTATTATGATTGTGAGGCAGGCTGGGAAGAATAATCCAGCTGGGTGGCCAGATGCCTGCCTGCAGTTCTATAAATACGGAAGGATCAGAGAACTAACTGGCAACATCAACCGGTTGGCCCCTTTGGCCATCCACATTTTGGCACGTTCCCTTCCTCCCAACATAGAATGTACTCACTCACTCCCCAAGGAGAGCACCCAGAGTCCCATCATCTAGATCAAAAGTCAAGAATTTCTACTTGAGGAGAGCCTGGGTGCCCCATCGGTTAAGTGTCTGCCTTCGGCTCATGTCATGATCCGAGTCCTGGGATAGAGCCCTGCTGCGGGCTCCCTGCGCAGCAGGAAGTCTCCTTTTCCCTCTACCCCTGGCCCTGTTTGTGCACTCATGCTCTCTCTCTTTATTTCCCTCTCTCTCAAATAAATAAAATCTTAAAAAATTTAAAAAGAAATCTTTACCTGAAGTACAATTCTCTCCGGTAAGTCCAGAT